TTCCTTCCCTCTTCCTATTAATCGTATAACATCTGATTAGGAACCTAGTTGCTGGACCTATGCTATAAACAGGAAGGTCAGAGCGGACAAATCAAACATGCCTCTGGTGCTGCAGACTACAACTGCGCAACTGAAAGGGGAATAGAGCACAGGCTCATTTGAAGGAGTAGGGCTGCGGGTCTCCCACCGGCAGTTGCATTTGCACTGACTCCATGTGAATGATAAATGAGAAAGTCAAACAACCACTTGCTGTGAAGCACCTGCCCTGAAGGCCACTCAGCGTTCAGGTAAGGCAAACGTGTTGTTACCGTGGGGAAGGAATTGGCGAGGAGCCCCCTCTCCTCAAACAAACAAGGATTTAAAAGCCCTGTGAATCAGATTTTAAAGTGAAAAAACAGGAGGACTGGATCTCTTAGTTCACCAGAAATACATTTTTGTGAGGAGTAGGAGTGGTAAGAGAGGCAAGGAAATGTTTCTTTTTGGACAGGTTCATGATTCAATGGAACAGCAGGATGTACTCTGTATGGATCAGATGGGTGAATCAACATGGATAATTAATTCCTTCTCATAACTTAAGGGTTATTTCTTACTCTCAAGGTGAAGAAAGGAGGTGGAAAGTCCTATCATTATTTCCAAACAGCAATCTTTGTCCTCTGATGAAGAGGCAAAAAGTTTTCCCCTTAATAAGTTATCTTCATATGCAACTACTCTGAGAGATCACGTCAGTGTTGATGGAAGAGGTGGTTTGGGGCCAAGAGAAGGCCCAAGGCTTTCCCAGCTAACCACACAAGTTTTGCTTTCAGCTACAGCTGGTGACAACTGAGGAATGGTGGCTGTTGAGCATGTACTTGAGGAAGAACAACCAGTGGCGCAGGGAGTTTTTGCCTGACATAAGATCATGCTCACGTGCAAAGGTGTAAAGATGAGAGAGCTCATCAGTCTTCTTCTGGCTCCATGCTTGGTTTTGGGGGTTAGATCAATTCAAGGTGAGTTTCAGACTCCCTACCTCTATTTTTTTTCTCCTTTTTTTCTATTATTGTTCCTTTTCTTTTAGCCTGGTATTTCTCCATCTTCCCTTTTTTTCTACTTTCATCTTGCTGACAGAAAGAGAAGGACACTTTGTGAGTGTACACATATGTAATTACCAGGGCTATACCAAACACTCCAGATGTGTGCCAATGGGAGAGTTGTGAATGGTATTTAGGCAAGACCCCCAAACTTCATGGACTAGAAGCCTGTTAGTGTATTTACTAACCTGTTGGAGAAGGCCCAGAGGAGGGCCACAAAAATGATCAGAGGCCTATGAGTACAGGCTGAAAGAGTTCGGGTTATTCAGCCTGGAGAAGAGAAGGTTCTGGGGAGACCTTATTGTGGCCTTTCAGTACCCAAAAGGGCCCTATAGGAAATATGAGGACAAGCATTGTAGCAGGGCCTGTTGTGATAGGACAAGGGGTAATGGTTTTAAACTAAAAGAGGGTAGATTTAGACTAGGTATTAGGAAGAATTTTTTTGCAATGAGGGTGGTGAAACACTGGCAAAGGTTGCCCAAAGAGGCGGTAGATGCCTCATCCCTGGAAACACTCAAGATCAGGTTGGACAGGCATCTAAACAACCGGCTAGAGTTGAAGAAGTCCCTGCACATTGCAGGTTGGTTGGACTAGATGAGCTTTAAGTGTCCCTTCCAACCCAAACTATTCTATGATTCTATATTCCTGTCAGGTTTCATCACCCAGCTCCTCACTTCTCTGTCTCTGCTTCTCCAGCACAGTAGCAAAGCTTGTGTTAGTTTTACAATTAGATTACAGGAAGAAATTCTTTACTCTGAGGGTGGTGAGGCACTGGAGCAGGGTGCCAGAGAAGTTGTGGATGCTCCATCCCTGGAATTGTTCAAGGCCAGGTTGGATGGGGCTTTGAGCAACCTAGTCTAGTGGAAGATGTCCCTGCCCATGGCAGGGGGATTGGAACCAGATGATCTTTAATGTCCCTTCCAACTCTAACCATTCTATGATTCTATGATTTCCCACTACCTCCATTTGCCCCACGACAAGCCCCATCTGTCTTCTTACTGTTTCCTCTTTTAGAGACCATCCCAATGCAGACCCTACAGTGTTACAACGACTACGTCTCTCTTACAACTTGCACATGGATGGAGTGTTCAGAGGCTCATGAATTGCTGAATGTGACTCTGAACTTTAACAACAGCTGTGAAATGTAAGTGTGGCTGGTGTTCTGTGAAGGGTCTAAAGGGGCTTGACTTCCTGAACTTAAGAGATGGAGCTGGGTGAAAGGACAGTGGGCCAGGCTTGCAGCCAGCATAGTATCCAGCTTGCAGACACCAGTGTTATGTCCAGGCTAGGGAGAAAGTTGGATCTGTATAGGATAATGAAGAACAGGAAGGAGAACATGCTAATCAAGTTGTTTTCATTATCTTTTCAATCGCTCTCCCCTGCTTTTACTGTGATAGCCCACATACAAAATATGGCAGGATATGTTAATTATTGCACATGAGTGGAGAAGGATGTGTTACACTAGATGCAGTGGTGATAACTAATCAGAATGGCTGAGAAGTCACTTCTTCCTTATGCCAGTATGAGCATAGCTATGTTGAAATAAATTCTGCAAAACAAACTGTGAGAAAAACAGAAGTTGCATGTGTTTGTTTCACTCATTGGGTTTCCTCTCAGAGATACTAGTCTATGTCTTGCACTATCTTTTTGCTACTTCTGCTTCCTTTCAAGAACAGTCAAACTGGAGAATATGAGGGAGAGGAAGGGGCAGAGAAGAAGGAAGAGATAGGGGACAGAGAAAAAGAATAATAGTAGAAGCAGGAGATGGAGGGGTAAACAGCAGAGAGATTGGAAGGTGAGAAGAAAACGTGAAATAAGAATAAGAAGTTATCTTTGTTTTATTTTTGAGACAGAGCTATAGGATTCATTCATGAGTTGACCTGACAGCTGTTGTAGTCAATGGAGAAGGTGCCCTGTACAGTCCCTAGAGTATTGAATCACATTCCAGATGTTAGTAGTTCGCTGTGGTTTGAAGTCTACAAACCACAGAACTGTTCCTGTGGCACAAAGGACTCCACAGGTCTGTGTGGAAATACCATTTTTGTGTAGGAGGACTGCAGTCCCATAGTCCTCATTAAACTTCTGTCCTAACTGCTAGCTGCATTTCTTTGGCTGACCTTCTTTGACTTCTCTAGTGTAAGCATAGCATAACATACACAAGTACACATGTAAACTGGCAACCCTGTTGTTATGGAAGCAACAAGCTTTGCTTGCTAAGGGAAGGTGAGCTAGGAGCCTAGGTTGACAGCAAGGCATTGGCCTCATTGACAATGGCATAATGCCACAGTAACAAGAAAAGCAGAACAGTGAGAGTGACCAGGATCAGCCATCTGTCCAAATCCCCAAGGAAGTCCCTATCCAGTAGCCAGGCTTAAGGTCAAGCTAGGAAGTCAATTCCACGGATCACAAACAACAATGTTTACACCAGGCACAGATATGGCCGTGTCAGGCAAGGGCCTGAAATTAAAAACAGCTTCTGAGTGAAGTTGGGGAAGCCCTCAGTCAGGCTGATTCCATCTTAGCCTTGAGCATGGGTAGCCAAACCCTTTGTGGGGGGAAATGTGAAAGAGGTTGTGTTCAGGGCCCAGACACCTACCAACCCAAGACAGTTATTGTGAGTGCATCTTCCTTTGAGGAAAGGAAGAGAGAATAAAGCAGAAGTGCTCAATAATAGAGAATTTTTTTCATGTCACTTCATGAACTATGGGAGTATGCCAACCTAATGTAGTGGTAAACACTGATTTAGAAACAGAATAAAATAGCATTTAGGGAAGGTTTCAGAAACCACACTTTGGGTCATCTAGCAGCTTCCTATTCAGATAGTCATGCTTTTTTTCTGTGACCTGCAGGTCCCACACAGGTGAAAACCACACTGACTGTCAGAACTTCACAATGCACTGGGTGTGTCACATCCATGGATATCATCAAGAAAACTACAACTTCAAATTTGTCCCGAGACTGCAGACAGAGCTAAATGTCTACTTGTTTCAGAATGGTAAATATGAACCACTAAGTCTTGTCTCTATTCTTGAGTATTTAAAAGATTATCAGATTAATGTATTGAATATCTAATCCTTAAAAGATACATAGGTTAGCCCTTAATCTGAAACGTAAGCAAGAGTGAAGTTAAATGGCTATAAGGCCATACTACAACCTTCAAACTCAGTGCATTCAGGATAGACAAAATTGAGTCTACCTTTAGTGACTACAATGAAAAAAAATAGGGGTAGACCTGCCAGCTAACGGGTGTCTTGGTTGGGACTGGGGGAAGATAACGAAAAAGCCATCTGTTTCAGCACCATGCTGTACATGTATTACAGCATATATGTTCACAAAGTCACTATAAAGCTGCACAACTGCACTGCTCTCCCTACTTTCCACTTCTGTTCATGAATATATTTCCCAGGTCTTGTAAAGTTTGGACTTTGCAGTGAAAAAGAATCATGGATTATTTGGAGCAAACTAGGGAAACTGTAAATATCCAGATTCTGTCATTCAGAGAACATCAGCTAGGAGGTTTCTTCCCCTCTTCATGTTCCTGTCCCCACTATCTCCTCTCATGGGTTGTACCTTCACCTTCCAGTTCAGACACTCCCGCCTCAAAACCTCACAGTCACCTTGATGAGATCAGGAGACTTCTTGCTGACCTGGAAAGCAGCTGATGGAAGCCAAGGGCTGGGCAGTGCCCTGGAGTATGAAGTCACTTACAAGCGGGAGTGGGAATCCTGGAAGGTAAGAGCAGAGGAGACGGGCTGTCCTGGTTTGGGCTGCACCCTTTTGGGCAGTGGAGACCCTGTGGTAAATGTTGTGCAAATGAGTGGCCTTTCTGTTCTCAGGGACTATGAGGAGAAGGCGACAAATGTTGTTTCGGGTGTGGTGGAAGGGGCTCTCTTCCTGTTTGCAAGTGACTTGCCCAGTGAAATACCATTTGCTCTGAACTGAATGCAAAGATCTGTTCTTCTTCACTGAAAAAAAAGCACTGTGCTTGGGTTTTAGTGGCTTCTCTGGTCCGTACAGCGAGTGGAGCACGGAGGTGTCATGGGAGACCCCTGAAGGTAGCGTGGGACGGAGTGGGTCCGTGCAGGTGCGGAGGCACTGGCTGACAAGCCAGACCTTTCCTCTCACTTAGCTTGCTCTCATCTTCTCTGAAGGTGGCCTTCAGCCCAGGAACCTTCGCTGCCTCTTCAATGGTGCAGTTCGTCTGAAGTGCAGCTGGGAAGTGAAGAAAGCCATCACCACCTCTGTCCTCTTTGGCTTGTTCTTCAGGGCCACTCCGGCATCAGCGTACGTGCTCTGCCCGTGGCAGCATGCCTGCACCTCTCCCATGGAGCTTCCGCTCTGTCCCATTCCTTCTGACCTCAGCTCAACCTCTTTTTCTCCCTTCAGAGAAGAAGAGTGCTCTCCTGTGCATGAGAAGCATTTGCCTCATGTCCCGTATGTGGTCCAGAGCTGTGAGATCCCTGTTAGCAACTCCAGCAGTCAGAGCCAGTACTATGTGTCTGTCCGGGCCAAGACGGAGGAGAAACTGATTAAATCCCGTGAGAACAGTGAGTTGCTGTGCTGTGTCTTGCTTCTCCTGTTTGTTTCTTGGAGACATGTGTTGTGTGGACAAGTGGGGCTGAGGACAGTAGTGGTGAGGAGAAGTGGGTGGGAAGAGCAAAATTCCAGGTACTCACTCCAAGAGCACTGGAAGTCTCTAAAATGTGGCTGGACCAGTACACAAACTTCACATATTGCTTTACTGCTTTTCTGTACATGGGGTGTACCATCAAAAGGATGGACCATGGACTTTATGTTCTTGATCAGAAAGTGGCTATTTTTCTGGTAATGTTCTTTTCTTGAGATTCTTAGGTGTTTGGTTTTTTTTTTCTTAATTTAGGTAGAATAAGCTACAGTTCTTGCAGGAGTGTTTTTTTTGTTCCCACACTGAAGAAAACACTTTAGAGATTTTTATTTAACCGTGTACCAAAATAAAATGCATAGAGAGTCTATGATATGAAATGAAATATTGATTACAATCTGCATCAGCAAAGTCAGGCACAAGTTGAGAATTTTCATTAGGATTTCCAGCTCATAACAGAACTAATTTCTGTTAATGAGGGAATAAGCTCTCCTTGAACGCAGTTTGGTTTTGTTTAATTGTTTGTGAGATTCAGGCATTTTCACTGATTCAGTTTATTACACAGTCTCATATGAGCATTGTTAAAGTGAAGTTAACAAAACGTGTAATAGTAGTACAAAACAGGAACGTGATAAGCCAATTATTCTTCCGGAGACGTCATAGCACGGGAAGGTCTACTGATTCTGATAATTTTTGTAGTTCTGCAATTTTAAAAAAAAGCAGAGGAAGCTGCCCTATCCCAAAGGAGCTGAGCTAAGCACTCCTGCAGTGCTCTTGAAACAGAAAACACTGTGCACTTGAGTCCACATAAGTGCCCTTGAAGGTGAGCGTGCTCTGTAGGTAACTTACCAAGAGTATCCATAAGAACTGGGAAAAAACTGAGCATTAGTGGAGTTTACACGCATAAATATATTATACAGGTGCTAAATAAAGAATTACCATAACATCACACTTCAGCAAATTTTTAGAAGAAACAAATGAGTATCAAAAGATGAATAAATCAGTTTGAAAACTCCAGATCTTGGAAGAAAGTTTTCATTTAAATTGCTAATAACTAGTGTTGAAGTGGCTGGTTTATGTCTTCACTACTGATGGCTAACAAGTTCTCAAGCAAATCACACTCATGCTGCAAAGACCATACTTACTGCCAGGTTGAAAAGTCTCTCAAAAACCCTTTTGCCCCATGGCACAGAACTCTAGTATCCACCGGTCTTGCCACTCATGTGCTTCACTCAGAATAACGTTTCTAGTGCTTCCTATGTAAAAAGACACTCTAATTGTCTCCCCACAGCAGCCTTTATCTCCTTGGCAGAACATGCTGTTGATCCATCCATTGATGATCCTGTGCCTATGCTTCTCTTTGAAAGACCATGATGGCACAGCATAACCAAGAACTTCCCTAGGAATGGAGTCAGCAAGTGCACATACTGACAAGGCTTTTGTAAAAATTCTGTAATATGAAGCCTAGAGGATGTTGACAAGTAACTACCACTGGAAAAAAACACACTTAAGAGCCACGTAGTGTGTCTTTCCTTCCAGGTGTCAGATCTCTGACAAGACAGGTGCTTGGGGTCTCAGAGAATCTGAAGAAGTCAGCAGCCATACAGAAGTCAGGCTGAAATGATTTGGGATATAGCTGCAATCTGTGTAGAGAGGTGGTGATACCTTAAAGAAATACCCAGGGTCCAACAGATTGGACTTTTGCAGAACTTTGCTTCAAATCATAGATTCATAAAGTCATGCATAGAACGGAGGACATTTAGTCCAGGCTCCTGTTCAGAGCAGATCATTGAGATGGCACTGTTCAGAGCCTTGTTCAGTAATTTTTAAATATTTCCATGGATAGACGTTTCACCCCCTCTCTGGGTCCCTGTCCCAGTGTTTGACTGGTCTCATGGTAGTGTCCTCCCCCGCCATTATCTTGAGTTGCAACTTGTAGCCATGGTCTCCTGTCCTTTCACTAGGTACCTCTGAGAGGAGTCTGGATCCATCTTCTCTACAACTTCCTGTTAGTTAGTCAAAAATAACAATTAGATACTTCTCAGCCTTTTCTATTTCAGGCTGAACAAGGCCAGTTCCCTCTGCCTCTCCTCATTCATCATGTGATCCAGCCCACTCTGAACATTTTGGTGGTCCCCGTGGACTGCCCTGGTTCACCAATACTTTTTTTGTACTTGTTAGTACATTTTAAAATGTATCTGAAATTGTCTTAATTCTTCACTTATGATACATGGTTGTTAGATTTGGCTGAGGAAGACAGATATGAAAAGCAGTAGCTTTCTCAAGAACTCAGTGAAGCTGGCTGTTACACTTGATTAGCAAGAGAATGTCAGGGAAAAGATGCTCTTGTGAAGTGCTGGTTGAAGCACACTTCTCTTGTATCTTTTGTACTTCAGCTATTATTGAACAACCTAGTGTGGAAAAGGGGAAAAAGACACATAGGAAGGAAAGGAGTATTCAGGAATGTGGTTGTGTTGACGCCTATTCTCAAAACTGTGTTCCAGTCAAGGTGCTACCCCCCAAAAATGTAACAGTGACAATGACAAAAGATCAAGATTATGAGCTGAGATGGACAAAGTATACATTCAATAAAAAATTTATAAAACAGAGATATGAAGCTGTATACTGGAAAACCAGCCAAATGCCAAAGGTAGGTGATGGAATTATGGGTGTCCTGTGAGCAGTATGGGTGGGAAAGTTATTTCTTCTCTTTCATGTTTTCTTCTTTTTATTCCTCAGTTTTCCATAGACATTAAAAATGATGAGCCTTACTACTGCCTGCAGAACCTGGAGCCATCCACATCTTATACCATAAAAATGCGGGCAAGGGTGAATATGCCAAATTATCTCAAGGGGCCTTGGAGTGAATGGAGCGAGGAGTTCACTTGGGAAACGAAGAGTGGTACATTTCAGTTTGGATTCTCTCCTAGGCTCTAAGGGAGTGGTAGAAAAACTAGTCTGTTGTTGAGGAAAAGAACCCTTTCAGGTGGGGATGTGGCAGGTACAATCAACCCAAGTTTCCTTCCAGAGTCCTTCTGTTGTCTGGGTCTGTCCTATTGTTCTCAAAACTGTGGGAGCATGGAAAGCAAAGCTTCATGAAGTCAGTGTTAAGACCAGGGCCTGGAAATGTGTGAGCAAGCTGAGGATAGAGGAGTTTTCACACAGTGGCTTAGAAACAAAAAGTTCTTCCGTTTTAAAAAATGTCTGATAATATTTTTGGCTTCAAGATTTATCAGAAATCTGTGGTGAGTCACTTGATTTTAATGTTCCCGGGCATGTGTGTACACACACATGATCTGTGTATCTCAAGCTTGAGGTACACTGAAACCTAAATGCTGTGAGAATGAAATATGGCCAATGTGAAATCAGATAAATTTGTGGATCAGAACAGAGGTAGGGGTGTTCATGGATGTATTCAGAAACTATAGCAGGCTGAGCTCTCTTGGAGAGGAAAGCTGTCAATGGAAAATAAAAAAGAATCAGTTAAAGAAAACACTAAACCATTTTGGTCAGTAAGCTGTTCAGGCCATGTTTGATCTCCCCCACTTTGGAGGGTTTCCCAACAGTTTGAAGGCCTCATGATCCTGTCCTGTGACATGCCACCTACATTTCCCTGATCTGCTTACAGGAAGAGTGACCCAAGCGCAAAACCTGTTAAGGGAAGCAGCCACTCGGCAGGTGGATACCGATTTCTCTTTTCTCTGTTTCAGTTCTGCCACCAGTCCTTCTCCCGGTGATGCTCCCAGCTCTCATCATCATCTTGCTAATAGTTGCTTATTGCAGCTATAAGTATTTCCTCAGGTAGGCCTGCATTGTGCCTGGGAGGTTTAGCAGCGTGTTGGCCTTGTGGGTGGCATAAAGGCTGAGGCACTTCTTGTCCCCCGTGAGAGAGAGGTCCATGTGGAGATGAGCCTTGGTGTGCAACGGGCAGCCTTGTGTGTGCCTGTGCAAGGGTGTGAGTTGGGTGGTGGCATGCCAGGGCCTTGGTGGTGCCTCGTCGTGCGTGGCAGTGCGGTGTATGGGACGCAGCCTTTTTGGGTTGCAGCCAGGCTGAGAAGCAAATCTTGACAACTCTGTGTTGTTGTTACAGGAAGAAGCAAATGTGGGAGGAAAAGATCCCGAACCCCAGCAAGAGTCTCCTGATCCAGAGCTACCAGGGGGTAAGAGGGAACTGTATCTTGAAGGGTGCTCCTGGAGCAGTACAACGTGAAGTTATTTCAGGGTGAAAAGAAAGAAGGGAGGGGTGTGTTGGGATGTCTGGTTGAGGGGGAGGTGCCAACTCAGGGTCTGGACTGTCAGTGAAAAGACTTCTGTCCTGTCCAGGAGGATTATGGAGCCTGGCTCAGCCTTATGATATCCTTCACTACAGACTTTGGTCTTCTGCCTATTTTCCTACCTTATATCCAGGACCCAAGAGTTAAAAAATAAAACCAGCTCTCCCTTCTGCTGCATCTGGTTGGTTTTGCCATCCCTTGCCTGCAAAATGCCTCCCAGACTCCTCATACATGTAATGTGTTGTCCCTAGATAGACTTCACCTTTCTCTGTTTCTGGCCAGGATGCTCCCTGACTCTCTTCAGTGCCACCTTCTCTCTTCTTGTGGCCAGTAGGTCGAGGGATGTCATTCCCCCCCTCTACTCTGCGCTGGTGAGGCCACAACTGGAATACTGTGTCCAGTTCTGGGCTCCCCAGTTCAAAAGAGACAAGGGACGTGAAGTTATTTCAGGGTGAAAAGAAAGAAGGGAGGGGTGTGTTGGGATGTCTGGTTGAGGGGGAGGTGCCAACTCAGGGTCTGGACTGTCAGTGAAAAGACTTCTGTCCTGTCCAGGAGGATTATGGAGCCTGGCTCAGCCTTATGATATCCTTCACTACAGACTTTGGTCTTCTGCCTATTTTCCTACCTTATATCCAGGACCCGAGAGTTAAAAAATAAAACTAGCTCTCCCTTCTGCTGCATCTGGTCTGTTTTGCCATCCCTTGCCTGCAAAATTCCTCCCAGACTCCTCATACATGTAATGTGTTGTCCCTAGATAGACTTCACCTTTCTCTGTTTCTGGCCAGGATGCTCCCTGACTCTCTTCAGTGCCACCTTCTCTCTTCTTGTGGCCAGTAGGTCGAGGGATGTCATTCCCCCCCTCTACTCTGCGCTGGTGAGGCCACAACTGGAATACTGTGTCCAGTTCTGGGCTCCCCCGTTCAA